GTGGTCAAGGATGGGGTGGGGCCGCTGGTGCAAAGACCGAGCATTTTGCCAGTAGCTGCGCCTCCCTTTTCATCATACCCCACCCCCAACCTAATAACAGCAGTGTCTAAGGCCAACACTCTCCCACACACCACACACAACCCACTCGCACTCACACCCCTGTTGGCCAAGGACCTTGCTAATACCGATCAGAGGTATCAAGGGGACTATCACCGCTGGTTGGCACTACGTGCGCCGAAGGCGGTTGTGGGGCTCTAACCCACAACCTCCTAAATGCCACTTGCATGCCTAACCAACTGAGCTAGGCCGTTGGATGGTTGCCTTATTGTGATGCCTCAGATAACTCGAGATAGGGTAGTATTAGCAATTTGTCTTGTAATTTGTTTGATTCAATCCTTATGACGTCCAAAATGGCTCTGCCAAATATCCCCTGTCGGTGTAAGGGCGTCGTTAGACATTCCTAGGGGACGCGGCTCCAAGGAGATGACATTCAAAATGAAAATGTGAAAACACTCTGAGGACAAATCCTTGGGCTCCGAGGATTTCCCAGCCAAATCGTCCTCGTTTCCAAGGGACCTCGCAAGGTCACTTGGAGCCCGAGGATCCACGATTCTCGGGGTGTCAGCATGGAGTGTAAAAGGAAATTTGGAGGCCGAAGGTGGTCCAGTCATGGTCCAGGGGGCAAGCAGCGGACATTGCTAGCCTCCAACGTCGTGGACGTCCACCAATGGCCTTTGACGTTTACTGTTGGTGGCGGATGGTGGCGGGGTGTGTCGTCTGTAGCCGGCTGTTTTGGGCGTCCGTTATGTTCTGGCGGGGTCTCCAACGGTCGGGAATATATATTTTTTAGGCGTGCCGGCAGCTGCTCGCCGATAGTGATCTCCTTGGAGTGTTTCAGACTGTCGTGCGTCGCCGTTGTTTGCACATGCGGTCCTTGCCCCCTATCGTTTATGGATAACCTCCATGTTGTGTTGCTCGTCGTGGTTGTCTCGGGTGACTTCCTGGGAGGAAACAAATGAGGCATCTCAGAAGTAGTCGTTCATGGTGTCATCACACACCCGCAAATCTTCCCACGTTGCAACCGTTCTCTGTTTCAATCACCATCTTGGTGTCACGCGAGGGAGCACACCGGAACCCAGCGCAGTGCACAGTTTTACGATGACCTCCGAAGTCACCACGCAGTCAGGGGCGTCAAGCACTATTTGTAATCTGCCTTTGTCTGCGCCCAGACAACTTCTCCTTCATGCGCCCGAACGCTTTCTCTACGTCACAACGGACGACAACGGTCTGCGCCACCGCCACCGCCACCGCCGTCTTCTCCATGGACACCAGCACAGTATGCCCATCGCCCCACCACCCTCCATTATCGACAAACTTTGCAAAGACGTCATCACCAGCAACCTTGCCTTCTCGCCGAGGACGCACGTCCTCAGCGCCCACGTTAACGCACCCCGTCGGTCACACTTTACGAGTTTTCAGAGCGACCACGAAGGACAATGACGCAAGGCAGGATTTCGCTCATTGAACCTTGCGCTCCAAGGTACCAAGTGTCGTCAGCAAAGGAGCATACTTCACGATGGAATACTCTGTGTAACCGGTTGAACGCCGTGAACGTACGTTCACGTTCAAACGCGCACGTTCAAACCCCCCAGCCCCGCGTTCAATCGCGTTTAAACGTGCTACGCGTGCACGTGCGCGAAAAAATTGAACGCGGTCCCGCGGGGCGCGCGCGCGTGACTGGGGCTACGGGGTGGTGGTTCGAGTTCGACAAACCCCCAAAGTGCAAAAACCGCCCCCCGGGACCACCCGA